CGTGGAGGGACGCGGTCTCGGGGAGTTGCTGTTCGGACGTAGGAGACCTCGTTTGCTGTGGTTAAGAGACTGAACATCCCTGAAAATGGGTGAAATGCACTTCAGCCTTGCGCAGCTCCCCTCAGGGAGGCCTCTGCTCCATCTCCAGGGATGCTGCCTCCAGTGCTGGAGCCTGACCCTGTCTCACTGCGTAGGGGGCCTGCTGACGGTTGAGGGGTTTTTTTTGGGATACCCCCTCCCTGACAGGCTTTGTCTGCTTCCCACCCAGCTCTAGGCTGTGCTGTTCTTTCAGATTTAATGATTTCCACACCTCTGCATGTGGCTCTCCCTGAGGCAGAGCGGTTGGCTCTGCTGTGGAAGGTGGGGTGTTGTGGTGGGTGTCACCCGTTGGTGCTCACCATGCTGTGGGTCCTCACCTGAGGTTCTACGGTCCTCCTGGGGCAGTGACCGGCTCCGCAGCTGGGCTGCAGCCCTGCCCACCTGTGGGGTGCTTCTCCCCAGTTTTGGAGGGGCGCTGGAGAGGAGCACTTGCTCTGTGCTTACTGCAGGGTCCTGCTGCTGGACTGCAGCATCCTGCACGGAGCCGCCCTGCGCTGCAGGGGCTGCCCTGCGCTTGTTTGGCTTTGCTCTTCATGGGGACCTCTAAGCCGTTTATTTAGAGGAAATACCTTAGCGGCATCAAAGAGGAGCCCAATCCCTCCCTGGAGAAGGGTCTGGGGGCTCTGAGCCATCCTTCCACGCTGTGGGGGGGCTCCTGAGCTCTGCCTGCCCCAGGGCAGGCGGTTGATGTGGGGTCAGGCGTGGTGGTCATGGGGTGGCATCGGTGGGCTCTGTCCTGCTCTGGGGAGCGCTCAACCGAGCCCCTTTGCTGGCTAATCAGTTCTGGGGCCGTTCCGCAGCCTGGATGCGCTGCGAATCGCCCTGTGTGGGGGATAATCGAGTCGTTTGTATTCATTAAGTCGGGTGACAGAAACTTGGGGATCGGATGCTATGAAGCGCTTGGGTGGCTGGAGCCCCCGGTGCAGCTGGATGAACCCCAGGTTCCTCAAACGTGGCAGCAAGACCTGCCCAGCGTGGGGCTGCCCGTGCCACGGCACGCTGCTGGCTCATCCTTCCCTGCCCCACTGCCCATGCCAGTGGTGGGATCCTGCGTCCTGCCGTGGGTCAGCTGCGCCGTGCCGTGGGGGTGCTGGAGGAGCAGGGAAGGAGGGTGGCCTATTTCTGCCACCGGAGCCGGGGATTAGTTCCCAAAGCCCAGGGCCCTGCGGTGCCCTCGTGCTTATTAGCCCTATCTGCATTTTAATCCCTCCAAATATGGGCTAATTACATCATCTTTCATAAAGCTGAGCTGACAGCACCGCAGCGCTGGGGTGA